CCCCAGCGTGGGATGTACTGCACAGTCCCCTGCTCAGCAGCCGTTTCCCTGTCCCTCCCCTTAGTTCCTTTCCTGACTCAATATGGTGTCAAGCTAAAAACAGACAACAACCACTACAAAGGAGCAAGGCTGGAGGCAGGAGCTTGAGAGTGAAACCAGGGCCCAAAGAGCCCGGGAGATGAGCCCGAGGACCGTGAGGACGCACAGAGGCCCCAGCAGCCAAGTGGAGGGCTGCTCTGTCCTCGTGCTGACCTTACGCTCCTCGCTGTGTGGTGACACTGGAGCAGACACTGTCCCTGCCCCAGTGTGGCTTCTGTCCCTGTATTTGGGAGGGCCTGGTGTCCCCGAGTCAGCCTGGTAGGAAGCCTGTGTGTCCTGCACGTGCTGATACAGGACACAGGGACTGTTCCTCCAGTTCATTCCTTCCCAGTGGGACAGACACGGGGGCTGGCTGTGCTGTCCCACACTCTGTCCCCAGTGCCAGTCGCCAAGTTTCAGGGCTTTTGATAAGATCTTCACAGGCCTGGCATAACAAGAGGTGGTGGTAGAAGGAAGGAAGCAGACATTTGGCAAGAGAAGGCCACAGCGCTGATGATTTGGTAACGGAAGAGCTTTGAGTCACAGTCTCTGGTAGACGCTGTAGGGTGGCCCCCTCCATGCCCATTGCCATGTCCTTCTGCCTCCCTCTACTGCAGTGGGCAGGAGCCAGGCACTCTGCTCCTTCCTTCCGGACTGTTGGACACAGCTGTGGCCAGCGAGGGGTGGGGAGAAGTCCCCTGAGGAGCAGTGCTCTGAAAAACACCCTGCTCCTCTACTAAAGAAGGACGCAGTAGCCAATGTGGCCCTTCAGCCTTCCCCGCCTCTTCCTGCCCAGAATGTGGCCAGAGTGCCTGGAGGTGAAGGAGATGTCCTTAGGGCATGAAGACAAAAGCCACACACAAAACAATGGCGGAGCTGGAGCCCTTGGAGACATCTGAAGCACGGCTCCAGCCCTGTCTGCCTACCTCGAGACTTCTAATTATACAAGAAAAGTAACCCCTATTTGGTTTCTCTGTGATTTTTGGTCAAACACGTTCCTAACTTACAGGATCCTGCAGGGGTTAGCTTGAGAAAGAGGACCTCATGTGGGAGAAGGGCAGGTGGTGACACCCCTCCTGATGCTCCCCTGTGCTGGTGCTGGTGCTGGTGGGGATGGGCCCAGACTCTCCCGGGGGTCCTAGCGTTCTTCGGGACTGAGCAGAAGATGAACTGTGGCAATTCTTCACCAATTAAACCTCAGGAAATGCTGGATCTGCCTCATACGGATGCCCAGCTGGCTCCATGCGTTTTCTTTGAAGAGACAGGACATGTCCCAGACATTTACCTCTATGATGCCAGTAAATGACATCATGGAGGCAGAGAAGAGATTCCAACGCAGAGTCTGGAAGGCCACATCAGGACCCCCAGGAGTTGGGTAGACAGCAGGCAACACGTGTGTTAGAAAGACAGCTTGGCCCTCATGGGTGGCAAAGTCAGGAAAGTTGAAGACTGATCAGACAGTCAAGGCCCTTCCCCGTGGGCTTTCGGCCAGTTCTCCTAGTTGCCTCTCAATGCCTCCCATGCTCTTTCCTCTCTGGTCCCAGACTTTATCTGTGTGCTTTGGTGGGTGACCTAGGCCATTCCCTAATGTCTACCTTTGCCTATGTTCCAAAACACACAAACTATGACTCTATCCAGGCAACTTGAAACCTGCATTAGAATCTGGCAAAACATCAACGTAGGGAGTGACAACCAAGACTCTTCCAGCTCCTTGGACCAAATGTGCTCAGAGCAGTCAATCTATTCCTTTCCATCTGCTCCTTCTGTCTCTCCCACAGCTTTTAATTTAAAAATGGTGATGTCACGGCCGGCCCGGTGGCGCACTGCTACAGTGCGCTGCTTGGGAGTGCGGTGGTGCTCCCGCCGAGGGTTCGGATCCCACATACAGACCGGTTCCTGCTCACTGGCTGAGCGAGGTGCGGGCGCAACACCGAGGGGTGCGATCCGTTGCCAGTCACGAAAAAAGACAAAAAGGAAAAAAAAAATGGTGATGTCACATCAAAGGAAACAATCAACAGAGTGAAAAGACAACCTACAGAATGGAAAATATTTGCAAACTGTACATCCAACAAGGGATTAATATCCAGAATATACAAGGAACTCAAACAACCACACAGTAAAAAACAAAGCAAAACAAAAATGGACAAAGGAGCTGAATAGACATTTTTCAAAGGAAGACATACAAATGGCCAATGGGTACTTGAAAAAATGCTCAACATCACCAGCCATCAGGGAAATGCAAATTAAAACCACACTGAGATATCACCTCACTCCAGTTAGACTG